GATTGCATCATGATGACGTTTGACCCAAGTTAAACAATTTAAAGGAAATGCTACCAAATACTAATTGAGTGTATGTAAACATCTGACGCACTGGGAATGCGATTAAAGAAATAAAAGCTGAAATAAATCATACTCTCTACTATTATTCTGACATTTCACATTCTTAAAATAAAGTGGTGATCCTAACTGACCTAAAACAGGGAATTTTTACTAGGATTAAATGTCAAAAATTTTGAAAAACTGAGTTTAAATGGATTTGGCTAAGATGTATGTAAACTTCCGACTTCAACTGTATATGTATTGTTAAAATTACAAAGGCGCAACACCACAAGTTAAAGCCTTCAATATGGTTGTTTTTAAAAGAATAATGTCCCACTCAAATTAGTAGTATGAGACCACACTGTGTGTGTGTATGTGTGTGTGCATGCATACGCGTGTGTGTGCTTGCATGTGTGTGGTATTATTGATATGACTATAGCTATAATGACACACAACTTTATTGTATTATTTGTATTAGCCTCCTGCACGCACACACACACACACACACACACACACACACACACACACACACAAAGTAGTACTTGACATTTTCCTGCCTAAAGGATAGACAGCAAAACACAGCCTGCTCCACCCTCTTGAATTCTCTCCATCCCACCCTTCTTCTGTATAATTCCTAGGGTTGATAGATAATGTTTCTGCCCATGTACAGTACATTATGGTGATATTATAAACAGAATGTACAGGCAACTGCCAAAATAATGGAAACAAATTAGGGATTCCAAGTATATTGAAAGCAGGTACTTCCACACAGGTGTGGTTCCTGAGTTAATTAAGCATTTAACATCCCATCATGCTTAGGGTCATGAATAAAAATTCTGGGCAGACCATTATTTTGGCTACCATAGCTATTCCCCTATTGGATGACAATGCCCCCATCCACAGGGCACGAGTGTTCACTGAATGGTTTGATGAGCATGAAAACGATGTAAACCATATGCCATGGCCGTCACAGTCAACAGATCTCAACCCAATTGAACACTTATGGGAGATTATGGAGTGATGCCTGAGACAGCATTTCCACCACCATCAACAAAAAATGTCTCATGGAAGAATGGTGTCGCATCCCTCCACTAGAGTTCCAGACACTTGTAGAATATTTGCCAAGGTGCATTGAAGCTGTTCTGGCTCACAGTGACCCAAAGCCCTATTAAGACACTTTATGTGGTGTTTCCTTTATGTGGTGTTTTTTTCCCTGTGCGCTTTATGAAAAATATTGTTAGGGGGCAGTGTCATTGAACTCCAGCAGTAGAATACATTGCTTGTCAAATCATTGTTCAAAATCATTAGGTCTGGCTATGCTTTATTTCTTAAAGGTCTAAGCCGCTGATCCCATGGATCATTTAGCTATTTGATTTAGAATTGTATATTGAATTTGGCCTTTACTACTATAGCCCATAGAAACACATTGAACACATAGACAGTCAAAAAATAAACCATATGGAATAAGGTTTTGAAGTGTCTGTTCTAAAAGTTAAAAGATGAGACATAATAATTCTAATCAGAAGACACTATTAACATGTGAATATTATTAGTAACATAATAGCAGAATAACTGCAGATTAAATAATGCTGTAATTGAAAATTGTACACCCAATATAGGTTACTGCATGTTAGCAGATACCCATATACTTCCAGTCATTGCGTTTACACTAGTTAGAATTGGCTCGCGAAACTACCTCTTAACTTCCTTCATACCGGACACAAGAGGCATGAAAATGGTGTCCACGAGTTCATTTGACTCTGCCAAAATCCCGAGGTATGCATTTAAGAGTTATAATTGATTTTGTACCCTATGTTGTGTTTCTCACCAATGTTGTTGTCTTCTCACACTAGTCAAACCCCACAATCGAATAAACGGCTTATGCAGCTCCCTAAGCCTCTAGATCACATAGGATATTGCAAACAAATAATCTGAACTAAAAACATACATATTTTGGCATTTCTGTGCATTCTTGACCATCGCTAATCAATATCCAAAAACAGCAAGTTTTTTCCGCGAACCTGCACATCATCATCTTCTGTCTTTTGTGGCATCAATGTGATTGGTTATGGCAGGCGAAACGGGAGGCGCGGTAGTCTAGTGGGTGGTGCGAATAATGACAAGCGAACCTGGGGAGCTTTGTGTTCACATTGTCCTAAAAAAGGGGAACCGGACTGCAGAATTTAAGCAGAGTTCGGTTCGCTTCGGGGGATCTTTTGAGGGGTCTGAGTTCACACTGCACAAAAATATAAGCGAACCGCACTGAGTTCCCAAAAATTGGCCGAAAGGGACCAAGTGTGAAAACACCCTTCAAAACATCTTCAACCAGTAAAATGTCTCTTTTGCTAGCTTTTGCTACAGCCTATGTCAATGACTGTTACCATTCTAGCTAACAATCGCTGCGTCCAAAATAGGTATTTTGCAAAGGTGACAACTAAATATAATCTTCGCAACTGTTCAAACAATAATCAAAACAACATCGTAAGCGTATAAGAACCCCAAAAAAGTATTTTTGTTTAGAAGTAATAATTATGTAAATAATGTAGTCTATGTTAAATGGGGGAAATCGAATGGCAGTCTTTCTGAATCCTTGATGGAACCCATCCGTGCCTGACGTCAGTGTGTAGTGTCCTGAAAAGCCGTCTGTAGTTGTACGTGTAATGCCATGTTCACTTGCTAGTCGGAACTAGGAAACTCGGACATTTCCGAAATGCTAACTATACTGAACAAAAATAGAAACACAACATGCAGCAATTTCATAGATATTACTGAGTTGAAATCAATTGAAATACATTCATTAGGACCTAATCTATTGATTTCACATTACTGGGCAGCCATGTGTGGACCTTGGAGGGCATAGGCCCACCCACTTGGCAGCCAGGCCCAGCCAATCAGAAGGAGTTTTTCCCCACAAAAGGGCTTTTATTACAAACCGAAATACTTCTCGTCTGATCTTGGCAAAGGAGAAATGCTCCTTTGTGCACAACATTCTAGAGAAATAAGCTGTTTGTGCGTATGGAACATTTCTGGGATTTTTTATTTCAGCTCATGAAACACGGGACCAACACTTTAAATGTTGCATTGATATTTTTGTTCAGTGTAGTTGTAGTTACACACGTACTGCGTTCAACTAATCAACATGTCGGACATTTCCGAGTTTCCTAGTTCCGATTAGGATGTGAATGCGGCATATCCCCCCAAAAGACAGTAGCCTACAGTATGAAGACAGGCAGAAACTGCTTCTCCAATAGAAATCCCGATCACGCTTGTAGGCGATGTCATGGCGACGTTTGCTAGCTATGCGCATGCGCAGAAACACTAACGGGTCTAACGGTCTCGCGCCGAACTGCGCATGTGCAGGCCGTCATATCAAAGGCACTCCTTGGATATAAAGTTGTTTTTGACGAAAATGAAAACGTGTCAGTTTAATTTCACGAGGTTTAGGTAATAATATGTTAAACTATTTAAGACATTGCCTCAAATCTAGGGTGTGCCTTTAGATTTAGAAAATTATCAACTAAGGAAGAATTTTTCAGTTCTCTCATTGACTTCTCAAACCCGGCCTAGTCTGATTGGTAATTTTCCAGGAAGTGTCGCAATATTGCGTCTCTTGGTTTAGAAACTCTGTGATATAAATTTTCCGCGATTGATGACGTCAATCAAATTCTTTACTTCCAGAAAGCTGAGAAGGCCTATTCTCGCGGGATTTGCATCTCATCGTCTCATCAGCTTTTAGTTACTTGTCAACTGTTGATAATCATTTTTACTATGTCCGTGTTCTGACATCAGTTAGGGCCTAGTGTATCTGTTGCCACTTGATTGTGCACTTTCTTTGACACAAACTCAAACACCTGTACTATTTCTTCTTACTTGTGTGGCGGTGACCTGAGAAAGTACCAAGGGCTATAACATATGTACCTCCTCTACACTCTACTGACAGTCAGACTGACACTATCAAACTGCTGACAGACTAGATAAGAGTATGCTACAGTGTAGAGAGAGTGCAATAGATCAGACAGCGTACGTTAGTTTGGTTGTTGGCTGTGTGCACTGCAGTGTTCTTTTATTAGGCTATTGTAGACTACACGTTTTATCTTACAATGTTTGGAATGTAGAAGAACATTGAAGAACATTTTAACCAAATGTGACTGTTTCCTTTAATGTTCAATACTAGCTTTAACTCTACCAAACTCTTATCTGAAGTTCATGTTTAATGAAAAATATTTCTGAGACAGATTTCTGGTTTTATTTGGTAATCAGAACAATTAGTATTCTGTGTTTGATTCTCCTGCACTACTTTCTTGCTGTGTCATGTTGGGAAAAATCATCTGCCCACAGGTCTGAGATGATCTATTCAATGCCTAAAGTAACAATGATAAAAATGTGATATGTGTTACAAATAATACAATAGGATATGATTATAATATCCCTGTGTTATATCTAAGTACATTTTTCTCAAGGTCATTGTCTGCAAAGTTCCCCTTTGGAGCAGTGAGTTCAGTGAACTGTCTTATGTTCGCAGCAAGGGGTACTTGAAAACAAGCTTGCATGCAAATATTATGGTGTCCTTCATTGAGAGGTTGGTGCATGAGAACTTTACAAAGAGACCATAGAATTGCCCTCTGAAAATTCCTCAAGCTCAAGCATGACTGTGCAGTGTGTCATGTGCTTCGGGCATGTGCTCGAGTGTTTTGAGGTAGACAATAGTGTTGTCAAAGATTCCTGACTCTCAACAACAGGTTTTCATGTCTCAAGAAATCAAAATGTCAGCTTTCTTAGTCCACACACTTTCATATTGGTCAGCATGGCTAGGCTTATAGTACTCAAACATGAATTTGACTTTTAAGATCAATGAATATCCTTCTTGAAATATTAAGTCTATTGGCCTGTCATGCTGCTAACCAAGGTTGAACACTCTGATTCACGTCAGCCTCTTTTTCCACCAGAGAGCTGTTTTCATCATGTCAGCCAGAAACGCCAACATTGGCGAGCCAGCCCCAGAGTTCACTCCTACAGCCGTAGTGGACGGACAGTTCAAAGAGGTCAAGCTGTCTGACTACAGAGGTAATCTCTCGTGGACAGATTCACGTGTAAACAGGAAGTGACAACTTTGCGAGAAGTTTACTTCTGGGTAACCAAGATTACTACTGAGGTAATGGTGGAACTGGGTGAATGGAGAGGCTTTGCTTTGGTGTGAAATCAACTACACACAAACAAAAATAATACATTAAAACTCAACATTTCTCAGACTTAAATCTCTGCTTAGCTATACACATCCCATGGTGTTGAGGTTAAGTCGTGGATGCAGATTTTTAACTATTAGGCAAATTACCATAAACCGTATGCAATACTTTTCAAATCCCATTTCTCTTTTCTCGCTAAGGGAAGTATGTGGTGCTGTTTTTCTACCCGCTGAACTTCACCTTTGTGTGCCCCACTGAGATCGTGGCCTTCAGTGAACATGCTGAGGAGTTCAGGAGAGTGGCTGTGAGGTCCTGGCAGCCTCTACAGACTCCCACTTCAGTCACCTGCCTGGTGAGACCATGAGCTATACTAGGGTCATATATGGAAAATACTGATATAGGAAAACAAACCAGAATCTTGTCCTCTACTGTCCTTCTGTATAATCTATGTTTTTATTTAATTATTTTTCATCATGCTGCATATATCTAACTTAATACCCCATCTTGTGGCTATGGTTAGGTAATAATTGTCATGTCTGTGAAGAGGAATCCAGGAAGTAAATTCGCTAGGCTGCATAGGGTCCTGAAGCCCCATCCTGCCCAGAGTTGAGCTTCTCCTGTCAGCCTGTGTAGCTGTGATAAGACCTTGCAAGACTGACTGAGTTGGTTTGCACCTCCAGATACACAGCAGATGTTTAGCGGCCATTGTTCAAGTCATCAATAATCAGTCTGTCTGCGGGCATGCAGTGCATTTGCGTACAGTCCTGTATTTATTGTGTGTGTAATAGTGATTCTATCTCTCCCCCTCCGGTGCAGGATCAACACAGAGAGGAAGCAGGGAGGTCTGGGCCTCATGAAGATCCCTCTGCTGGCTGACCTCACCCAGGCCATCTCTAGGGTCTACGGAGTGCTGAAGGAGGATGAGGGCATAGCCTACAGGTCTGTTACCAAGCTCTGGGACAAGTCTTATAATCCTGTTCTCTCGCTCTCTCACTCACAGCTACCCATTTACTGACCTTTATACAGTGCTCAGCCCTAATCCTGTTCTAACCTTCCTCCCTGCTGTCCAGAGGTCTGTTTGTGATTGATGACAAGGGCATCCTGAGGCAGATCACCATCAACGACCTGCCAGTGGGGTGCTCTGTGGATGAGACACTGCGCCTGGTGCAGGCATTCCAGCACACTGACAAGTTTGGAGAGGGTGAGAGGAGGAGGGGACAGAGAGCAGGTTGGGGATTTAGAGTAGGAAGTGCTGACATCTCAGGACATGGCAGGAGACTCATATTGTTAGGCATCAATATACCTCCATTGTATGCACTCTAGTGCTACTTGACCTTTAGCCCCTCTTCAGCTCAGTTCCCATTTGTATTAGAATATACAGTGCATTTAGTGAGCAAATGTGTTTGATATACACTGTTTGATCGCAGGGCAGATGTGTGACTTGTTGTTTCTCTCTACAGTGTGCCCAGCAGGATGGAGACCAGGGAGCGACACCATCGTCCCAGACATCCAGAAGAGCAAGGAGTTTTTCTCCAAACAGAACTGATCTGTCCTCACCTCCTTAGAGGTGTTACGTCTATACAGGGTACTAACTGAGCACTTACTGCTGTTAGCTGGATCACTGACTGACTGAGTCTGCTGATCGCATTGATTCTGTGTCAACTACACTGTCAGTGGGGATATGTTTTGTGAGATTTCTTGAAAAATAGGTATTATTTGTGTATTAGGCTTAATGTTGATTCCATCATGGGGCTTGATTACAATTCAAACAGTGCCATGTGAGCATTTTGTTAATGAACTGGAATGTTAATAAAAAAACAGAATTTCTTGCTAAATTGTTCTCTAGTTTTGTTGTGATGCGGCATTTGGAAGTTGCTTTTGCCTTTTTAAAGAAAATATAGTGTTTTATTCAGTACTTATGTATTGGAGTATGAAATAAACACTGGTATAGAGTTCATAGTAAGCTTTAGTTACTAACCACTAGATGGTGCTATGCACACATTCAACAAGCAATGTCCTATTTTTCTGGAACATATTGGTTTTGTTTATTGATACAATACATACAGATTAGTCTTAAAGAGCAACTGCCCCTAAAAAACAACTTCTCATTTAGAAAACAGAAAACAGCCTATGTGGCATTGAGTCGGAAACATGTATTTGACTGTCAAAATGTAGTACAATGTGTAAATATGATTATTTTGGTCATAGTCTCATCCAAAACTGAGTTTTGTGAGACTTTTACATTTTAGTCATTTAGCAGACGCTCTTATCCAGAGCGACTTACAGTTAGTGAGTGTATACATTTTTATTTTATTTTATTTATATATATTATTGTTTATTTTTTTCATACTGGCCCCCCGTGGGAAACAAACCCACAACCCTGGCGTTTCAAGCGCCATGCTCTACCAACTGAGCTACACGGGACTTGTGGTCATGACTGCATCAAAATGTAAATGAAGGTTGGGTTTGTTTCAAACCTGCCCACAGCTGGCAGCACACAAGTAATCATTATTTTGGAGTGCAGCTGCATGTGACCCGATCATAATACCTGTGCTAAGTTTGGGTTGTCTTTGGATATACTGTACCTATGGGGCTAGTTAGGGACCATTGGTAAATTACACAATGTACATGGGACAAAATGTTAAAAATCCAATAGCTCCAAATTTCAATGAATTAAAAACCTCAAACCAATATAAATTGTAGAAATTAAAATTCAAAAAATGTAAAGCATAATGAGAACGAAAAGGTGTGCAACATGAAAATATTCTAATTTACATTGTGTAATTTATTGACGGTCCCCAACTTGCCCTGGAGATAGGCTATCCAAAGTGAAACCAATTTTGCCACAGTTGCACACCAGCCGGTTGAAGCTAATTGGCAAAATAATTTGGCTAACTCTTCCTACCTGCGAACACACACACACAAGATACCCACATCAAACCACACCCCGATATCAACTCACATTTGAATTCAGTCATGGCCACTAGCATTTCTTAATTAAACAAATCAAAAACGAGGCCAGATCAGGAAGTGTAGTTGCCCTTTTAAAGGTTTTATATTATAATTTATTATAAACTTTCACTAGTTTTGAATAACCCTAGTTGTTTGACCGAACTGCTTCTTGTATCTCCCAGGGTGACAGTGAGCCCTGCATGTCTCAGAAGAGGTTATAATCAGTTCCCTGTGCTCCAGAGGTCATTAATGGTGAGCTGCACCGTGTACACTGCACTCCAACTCCATTCTATTACAACTTAACTTACTCCTCTGGTGACACATGGGACTGAGAAACCAGACATTATGTAGACTACTACTTATCACAAATTGACTGTCTTTGAAAGATTATGGGATTACCTCCCTCGGTTTGACATAGATTGAAAAGGCTGTAGTAGTGTATTAGACGACTCCTGTTGAAGACCCATGTCGCCTTTACATAGCAAAATCCCATTCAATCTGCATTGTCCTACGTAGCCCTAAATGTCTCGGAAATTAGTTATGTAATTATTGAAAGAAGCTCAGATGGCCATGGTGAGGTGGGAGGAATATGTATGATGCTAGAGAAGTGTGGGAGATGGAGCGAGAAAGTGAGGCCTGTAGGAGTGGAAGGGGGCTAGAGGGGAGGAAAATAAACCCACCCCAGATCTTAATACGTCATCACTTGCATCACAGATGTTCCCACAGACACTGTGGGTTGTTGGCTGAGGTAGCGAGAAGCGGTTTGGCTGAAATGGGCAGGTTGTGCGTGTGTATATATGCATATTGTGTAGGCCTATGTTAACACCATGTTTTTATGTATTTCCCCCTTGGTGGGATCTGGGAAATCAAGTATCCAAATAACATTGTTTCCATCTGGCAATGGAACATTTACTATATGAAGAAGTTTGAACCTCTCTCCAAAACAGCTGAGGTTAGAAAGTGTGTCAAAACCCCAGCCTTCAGCAATTCTTTTGAAGTGGTTTTATTTTATTTTCTTCTCAAGTGTGCTGAAGGTTGTGGAGAGCAGGCTGGGTTGTTTGCCTAGCTGGCTGCTGTAGCCTATATCATTAACTGCTTAACAGGACAGAATTCCCCCTCCTGTTTTCCTGAGAGCAGCTTGTGCATACTCAATAACTCCTCTGTCTGCCAAAGACCGCAACACACCAGGAGTTGCGACTGTTGCCAACATTGAAGGGCTTGAATAAAAAAAAACTGTTTGGATAAGAAGTTAATGTATGATGACTAATCCTCAATTAACTCGACTTTACTGGGACTTGTCCCATATCCCTGCCTCAATTCGAAGAGAACAGGGCCTCATACTTCTCTGTTGATGTCCCCACAATTTTCTTGTCCTTGGCAATGCCAACCTAACCCATCCATAGACACAGATGCTCTCACACACCAGATGCCCACTCGCTCCTACTGCTCTGCCAAGTGGTGTGGCATCTTTAAACACCCCCAGCATTCCAAAGGCCACTGTCACTTCCTTCCATGTGCACTCTTTCAAATATGATAAGACCCAAATCTGTCTTAACTACTGTGGTGTGTATGCAACCACCATGTTTAGTTACCCTGGCTGGGCATCATGGGAAACAATGTGCCCAGAATGAGCTGGTGGCCATTGGACAAATCTTTATACAAATAGATTATCCAACCAGAGAATTGATGGACTGTGGACAGACGCCTTGAATATGGGATGACTGACTATTTTTGTCTAGTGGTAGGCCACTTCATGCCATATGAAAAATGAATAGACTGTAAATAGTCAAGAAAAGTTAGTGGCTGGTATTCTGACTGAATTTTCTCTGTAGTCTATTGATAACCCTTGTGAAATTATGACTGTGCCAAGTCCATATCTGGTCAACGTTTGTTTCCTTTTCATGCTCCTTATCTCAGTTCTACATGTAATTATTACCCTATGCGCCAGCTTAGTTTCAATAATAATATTGGAAATTCCGTTGTGAGCCAAACCTTCATCTTATTGATACGAAGTGTTAGATGAAGTGGAATGAAACCAATTTGTAAGGTAGGCGGGGGTTCCCAGAAAGCTTCGCTCTCAGTGACGTAATCTCTACCAGAAATGTCCCTATATGGACACGCTGTGCGTAAAGGAAAGGTAACGCGCTGACGTTCTGGACGTGAAGGCGCTGAATGTAGTCTAGTGGCATCGATTGCATAGGATCTATCACTGTAAAGTAGCCAGAAATTATAAACCTGTCTTCAATGAAAATTAGCTATTTAATTCACACGCTTTTGAGGTTGTTGTTTAGACCTACACAGGGATAACACTAGACTTCAGTAAATGTGTAAAATCCTCTGCGCATATAGCAATCATACACATTTTGATCAAACACCATGATTGGCATAATGACACCAATAGAAAACATGAAGCCAAAAATCGTTTTAAGAGACTTTACTTAAATATACATCGCACAAATAAAAAATACATTGTAAACATATGACATCATATTAGTTTGTCAGGATCAACCTGGCAAACAAAATAACTTACACATTTAATGAATGCAGCATTGCATGACGATATGCAAAATTACAAACAATACAATAACATATTTCCATTTGATACCTAATCAAATCAGCCTATCAAGTACTCTCTGGTTTGTTTTTCTAGTCACTCTGAGTGTCAGTGTCTGTTCAGTCTGGATGCGGTTCCTGTTGTCATGTATTTGGGTTATATGGTCCCTTGCACGGTGTCCAGCATCCGGAAGTACCATTTCTGTCAGTCTTTTACCAGAAATGAGTGTAGCCTACACAGCCTGCGGCCCTATTGTCATTACCAACAATAGCCTGCCGGTATAGGGCATATTCCAGTGCTGTTCATGTAGAACATTCCGCCAGTGTTGTCATTTCTAAATCACAAATTTCTCTGCGTAATGCCCTCGCCGCTCTATTTAAAATGCCTCCATTTTACTCGTCAACATCAGCTGACACCCGCTGCTTACATGTGTAAGGACTTTCTGTTTGAGCTGGGCGACTTGTTCACGAAGCACAGTCGCGGTGTTGGAGAGCCCAGCGTTATCCGACTTCAGAACTTTCACCTTGTCCTCCAGTCGGGAGATGCGCTCCAGTTTACGGCGCCGGCATTTGGTTGCTGCTAGTCGGTTTCTAAGTCTCTTCCGCTCGGCCTTGATTATCTCTTGGTTTTCCATGTCGATTGGGGACATTGGCGGGGAACCGTCGCTGCTGTGTAGATCAGGGACGGTTTGTGGTTCTTCTTTGAAAGCCACAGGGCGCTGTGGATGGACCCCAGCTCCAGGTAGAGAGTACTGAAAGTGGTGTGACGCGTGCGTCGAGGTCTGTTGGTGATGGCTCTGCTGGTGGTGCTGCGGTAGGTAGTTGATGGTGGTACTGGGGTAACTGGAAGCGGAAGAGAGGTTAGTGTTTGCGCTATAAGCGTTCAGTGTTGTGTAGATTGTAGGCTCCGGCTGCAGGGAGGAGCCGAAGACACTAGAGGCCGCCGCCGAACAGGTCGTCACACCACTGGCTCCAATAGAGACGTTGGGCGGGGCCATGGGCATATGGTTTATCTTGTGGAGCTCGTCCAGGGCTTTCACGAAGCCCTCCGCAAAGCCCTCCTGCTCATCGGTGATGCTCCGGTTGTAGAAGTACTGGCCTGGGGTTGGAGTAGTAATTATACCGTTACTGTTTTGGATGATAAGCCTTTCGAGCTCCGGGGAAGCAAGCTTCAGTGACCCGACGTCCTGGTGCGCTGCTTGGTACAAGTCAGACTTGAGGTTGCGATATGGCTCTGTCAAGTTCATATTCATATTCTGCTTTAGGTGTTTGTAGTCGTGAAATGCAGCATCAGAGTGGCCGTAAGCCGAGAGAAAAGAGTCGTCATGATAAAAAGGCTGCTCCATTTTTGTAGACATAAAGTCGTAGGAAAGTGAGCTTACCAGTTGTTTAAACAGTCTCAGGATATTGGTCAACAAATGACGGTGTCAGCAAAAAGCAGGCCTACGCATCAACGCAAGCACCTGTCTTCTTTTTCAGCAATGACCCAAGTTCAAAACTAAAAAGAATTTCACTTCTAAAAGTGTGAGGGAAAATCCAAGATGTAGAACAGAGCAATGGTCCACGAAGGCTGTCACGGATGAATGACCGCAGTATTGACGTGATCCAATGTCTTGAACTGTCTTTCTCAACCTTGTATAAGAAAAAACTAAACTTTATACCCACACGTAAGGTTGCGTTCCCGGGTAGCTGTTCTACGTGATAAATTCACTCTGAGTGAGCAGCTAGTAACATGCCGTTTTATATACACACCGAAACATGGTGCGAGTTCGTGTTGCAAGGCATGGTGCCCCGGGGAAGCGGAGTCTATATATTTTAGACCATTCCATTGGTCCATAAGTGAAATCTCCACCCACCTGGTGCACTGGCCATGCAAAACGAACTTGCCCACACACACACACGCTGTCAAGATTGGGAGAGGGAATTGATTGGATAGAAACTCTTTGTGCACGCCCCAACAACAAAGCGTCAGGGTTGTGACGCGATTGCCAGGAACTACTTTGATTGTAAACCGATTGTTAACACGCGCATGTAGGCAAGAAAAGTGAACAGTGAAGCAGGGCTGGATTAAGAATATACTTCGATACAGCCTTTATTGAAATCGCTGTGCAGGCTAATGCACAACGAGGTTTAGACTAATTTGTCAACATGTTCATAGGCTGTTGATATACGTTGTTTTGTGATCTGACTGTTACATTGCAACTACAGTAGACTACATTACTGTGATGTTGCATGGTCCACGTTATTACATTGTTACAAATTGATAGGAATTGTCCATCCGACGCTGAGCTGCGCTGCCTAGACCTACATATTATGTGGACGCTATATTGTGTAGGCCTATATGATGAGTTGCAATTCAGTTGTTAATTTTACAGCAAGTTTGTTTGATGACTTGCATGTAGCAGGAATAACTATTAGCCTAATGTTCTGCTGAAATTATATTTGACTGTTCCGTGTGCAAATGTGATCAACAATGCCGCAATGGGGTTAACGTAACTGGGGAGACCACATAATGTATACCATTTATTAACCATATATATTGATGTACTATGGTGGGATCGAGTATTTCATCCACCCATACACAAAAATGTATGCACGCATGACTGTAAGTCGCTTTGGATAAAAGCGTCTGCTAAATGGCATATTATTATTATATTATTATTCTGAGGAGCAAGTCCGCAGTCCATATTTGGGCATGCTGACGCGTTAGTTCCTCTTGAGAGAATCGGGAAGCTAAGCCATTTTTTTGTCATATTTAGAATTTCTGTTTTGTGTTGATATCACAGCTCTTGGCACCCTCATTCACACAGGTTAGTAGAGCTGTGCAGGAGCGAAGGGGCTGGGTTAAGCTTTCAACACATTTACCGCCTTGGAACAAACCAGAAACAGCAACCTGCGTCAACATGTATTTAATGTGAATTACACAGTCAGTACATATATTTGATAAGAAAATACTCTTGTCATGTTTAGGCTTGTGGACCAACTTCTCACGAGGCTATAGGATAACTGATCACTGTGTTATGTTAGCACAAAACACGAAAACTGCACATCATTTTCATGATTTTAAGTGACACTTGAGATCTAATTGACCAGAGACCATGTTGAAACTTGAAGCTGTGGCTTGCCATTGCTTTATTTCGTATCCTGAATGATGCCCATATAATGGCTGTCTCTCTGGTAATTCTCAAGTATTTAAAAACGATTATTGAGTCTGTCTTTTTGTCAGTATCCATGGGAATAGACCCTAACAGAGGAAAACAGTTACTGGTAATGTTAACACTCCCAAACTGCCACCTCCCTCATACATTCTATTCTGTCTCTGCTAGCTCTGGTCAGGTTGGTTTTGGCTTTATGCATCGTTGTGGTAGAGTTTTGACCTCAGCTCCTGTGACATTTGGCATTGACTGCAGCCCAGTGGGGTTCAGCGTAGTGAGTGTTTACCGTAACACCCATGAAAGTACATGCCACACATTACTCTAAAACACTCCCAGGTTAGCTAATAGGGAAGAGGGATGAATATGTGCAAGAGGGACACAGAAAACATGGTCATTGAATGCACACTTCCAGTTGTATATTCAATGTGCTGTACCACCCTCCCATGTAATAAAAGCAATATAACAGGTCAATGTGCTTCATCAGCCTCTGTTTACAATAGAGATTGGATTCATCAACCCTTTTTATGATATTTGTCTTTCTGAAGATGTCTATTCTATTTTATCAGTGTTTGTACTTGTCTTGTGCCAATGTGTTAGTGTGTTTTTCTGTAAACTCTCTGAGAGATAGAGGGAGGGGCAGGCCTCTTGGCAAGAGACGGTTTTCATGGTTGGGCTCACATGGATGGAGGCCAAAAACAACTCAATGTTACCTGCTCTTGCTCCTGGGTGAGTTTGGGAAAGGCATGCCTTAGGGGGTGAGGTGTAAGTCATTTACGGCAAGAGTTCAAACTGTGTGTGTGTGTGCACACGTGCACGTATTGTTTTGCTGGAGTGTGTACAACAGTATGTGTTACAACAGATACCCTTGCAGCTGTGTGAACATCTGCAGGGAAAGAGGAGGATAACGTGATCATTATTTCCTTTCTGCATGTATTGTTTTTCAGTGTCGAAAATGACTCCTGCACATGATAACATCTGCTTGTTTTATTGTGTTGACATTTTCAAGAGCCTTATTACGATGAGTGTAATTATCTATGATGAACTAAGCAACAGGGCTTTTGCTAACTGCACCATATGGAGAGGCTGTGTGATGTTGTGCATGTTAGCATTCACTTCAAAAGTTATCTATTGTTCAAACTATTACAATATCTGTTTTCTTCTTTACAATGGTTATGTGAAAAACTTTAACTAGGATCAGCCTAATAGCCATTGACCCATAGACAGTGATAATATCACGGTTGGATATAACCTCTAGCCTACTAACCAGTAGATAGACATGCATAACTCTATACCTCAGTTTTTCCATTCTCCATGTTATGTAATATTACCTCCAGGGGAAGAAATCCCTGGAAAATGGGAATTTGGGACTTTTCCATAGGCTCCCCAGACAAAGCAGGCTCTCACAATAAGACACTGATCTGAGTCTTCAGCCCTCCACACCACCTCTTCACAACCATCCCATTGTCCCTCTACACCTCCTCACAAACCTGCTATTGTCAGTCCCGGCTCACAACAGCCTTAGCCACTGTCCTGGGCTCCTTCAGAGGACAGGCCTCTGATTGGCTGGAAGCTCCCGCTCTCTGACTCACCCTGGCTGGAGGAGTCTGTGCCAATTAGAGGTCAAAGCCCCGAGACCAACAAGTCTTCCGAGTCTTTCCACTGTCCTTCAAACTCTGCAGAACTCCCAGTCAGCAAAAAGAGAGGGGTGAGGGAAAGTGAACAGAGAGAGGGTAGAGCGAGGGAAAGAAAGACGTGCTTGGTTGGATGGGGGTTGTGAATGCCCTCTCGGCTGACTCTTGACTGAGTGGGTGATTCTCCCATTGGGACACAATGGGGCCTCTCATGCTGTTGTTGTCTTCTGTGGTCAGTGTTGTGAGTCTATAAATAGAACCATCCATCATCATTATCATCATCAACAACATCACATGATGGTTACGATGGTGTTTTTCTCAAGGTCGAGCTGTTGACCCAAACAGCTTGAACTCATGTCGATTGATTGGCATCTATTGATGTCATGGTTGGCCAATGGACAGCACAGAGAGAATCCCGGTTTCATCTGCTCACCCCCAGTTCACCGTGCTTACTAACTGATGGGTGGTTCCATGATTCTGTAATTCTCAGGTTCAGCTACTGCATAGTCAAGTCCTGTTTAAGTCAGGAAAGGACAAGACAGGCTTTACCCCTGGAGACCAGCAGCCTCTGCAGCCCATTCTAGGCCTGTCACAACCTTTTGCTCACATCTTTTTGATAAAAGGGGAAAAGCCTGTTGGGCAGAAACGCGGCCCCACGCTTTAGCACTGGCTAAAGCAGCTAATGGGGCAAAGCTAAATCTAGCCAGCCTTCCTCCTTGGCAAGGTCCCATGCTCGCCAAGCTCACTGAACCTAAAGGAGCCTGTAGGAGAAGTGAGTCAGGTAGTTGGCCAGGGTATCGGGGGCATGCACCAGGGCAACCGTCCTTCTGCTCGGCCAACCAGGACGGAGAGGTCCTGTTAGTCAGCTATAGGTGGGGGTCAGTGATGTCAGCGCCAGAGGGCAACAATTCTCTGTACCTCATGGCTCTGTCAACCCCCTCCTCCTCTGCTCTATCATCTAGCGCTCTCTCCGTTCATTATTCTGTTAGTGAAGTGGTGTATAATCATTATAATGAATGCTGAATGTGCTCTTAATGAGCTTGGCCTATACAGAACTACAAGTTAAAAGGCAAAGAGCCTGTAGCGCAAGAGAACATTTAGTGTAACACGGGAATGCGGGGGTGAGCGAGCATGGCATGATAAAACAATTCTCCTGATTTTTCTGTGTGTGTGCATGCATGTGAGAGAGAGAGAAAATGGAAGACTGATGAGATAGCCAAGATTTTGTTCCCATGACTTAGAATAGACAAATCAAAGATAAGAGGATTTTTCTCTCCCCTCAAAATCCATCTTGATCTTGGTCTTCTTCTTCTGCTCTTTCTGGGTTCTTTATTATTTCCTTTAAGTTGGTCCGCTTAGTTAGGGTTTGGCCCGGCACGAATGTTATCTGTTTGTTTTTGCTAGTTCTCTGTCTTCCACATGGCTGAAATGCGCCTTTGTTTTTTATTAAAAGTGAATGCCACCAGATTATTGCCATGTCAGGTCATATGGCGCTCATAAAGTGGGTTTTTATATAATAACATAAATTATACAGCACTCTGGGAGTTATTTCTCCCTCAG